CATGAACAGAGGGCAAGTTCTCCCTGTTGGAGGGTTGGTTATGACCACTTGATGGCAACAAAGGGGCCAAAAACTGCCACTCCAATTTCCCCTCCGGTTGGTATCTACGCGATCTCCGGTGAATGTCATATAGCCTGGGGCTGGGGCTCTCGTATAAAATGTTTCATCCCCATTACTTCTGGTAAGTGGGCTAGATTGGTCAACATCACTTCCATGTAAATCATCATTGTCAGAAATGGAGGATGCAACACTCGCAACTGCCATCTTACTGCCCCATGCAATGATGTTGATGTTACAAACGCTGTTTTCTACAATTAAAGGGTTCCCTTCCCAGCTGAAAGGAGAGGGTTACTTTTTGCCCAGAGAGACTAAGTTACATATTTCACGCTTGGTAACCTGCTACTTCAGTTAACTACAGTGCTGAAATACGACAAGCGTAAGTTGTCTCGAAGATATTGAAGATAGTCATAGGTCCCACTTTGTAACTCACTGTAATGCCTGGGATCCCTTAGACTTTTTAGAGGACTCGGACTCTTCCCCCAACATCACAGTGAAGATCGCTTGTAGGATTAACAGTGGAACATAAAGACTTGTGTCACGTCGTAGAACGCTATCAGTACTACACTGTGTTGCGCACCAGATCCTGTCAACATGGCACCGAAAAACCGTCATGTCGATGATCAAAAAATAAATAAATTCGTTCTATGGCTTTCCCCCAGCTTTGCAAATGAGTAGGCTAATCCTAAATTTTGTGAATTCTGACTCCACGTCAACATTTGAAATAGCAATCAAACAAATTTTAAAAAAGGGGGAGGCTTACGTCCTTGCATCGACTGCAAACCTGAAATGGGTGAAAGAAGAGCTGGGTTAAGCAAACCGTAAAAAGGACATGTGGAGAAATCGAAAATTTGCGGTAGCAGGCGGCGACTGATACTTTGGCAAACATAGACGGATTGAAGAATAGTCGACCGCAAATTCTACCCTTATAAAATAAGCTCATGTTTGTGATTTTAAACCCTCGCTGCTTGCTCTAGGTTCTAGCTCCCCGCAAAGATATACAAACATGAGAACAGTCTCACAAAACTTGTCTATCAAAAAGTAAAACGACGGCATAAACAACCAACAAAGTACACCTAATTAATGGATGGTCAAAGACAGATAACCGAAACATGAATACAGGTAGGGGGGCATAAGTGCGGGGCACGCAGAAGGATGTGGGATGAGTGTGCGTATGAGGAGTACGGGGGAAGGGGGGGTATGTCTCTACAGCCTTAGGTTAATCCCGTACCCCAACTTAGTGTCTAAAGGAAGCTACTTGTCCCAGGAAAGCATGCAAGAGAAAAACAAAAGCAGAGCATGAATATCAACATACCCTTTCCTCCGGCAATTAAGCCACCTCTGTTTTCCACAAGCTTGTCGTTCATATCGACAATGCTGTTTATCTTGTCTGCCAGTTGCAGAGCCAAGGACTGCAACCGGGAGCGCTCACCCTTGTGCATCGTCAGAAAGTCAGCAGGGACTTCTAGTGAGCCCTACAATGGATACAAACGAAGCAAAGGAGTGTAAAAGCGGTCTAGCTAGACGATGAGAGCTGTTGTGATGATAAAGAGGCTTTTAACTTACAGCAAGCTCCTGGTTGATAATCATTTTACTAATGATCGAGTAGACCTGAGACTTGGGCAACTCAAAGTGTTCTGCCAGTCGTGCAAGGCTGATGGATTCATGCACGGAACTGAAGGTGAAAAGGTAA